ACGCTCTGCCGCACAGATGTAGATAGTTTGCACCTACCCGCGCGAGCGCAGCACACTATGTACGCAAGCAACCACTTAAGAAATTAGCACACAACGGAAACAAAACGTCTACCGACAACCATCATGACCCAGTAAGTGACACGTTATCAAATTAAACTGTTTTTACTAACAGAAAAGAAAACACGTAAATAAAATCATATAATTTTTTTTTCCTCAAAAATAACTTGTAGATAATATTAATGCTTATATAAGGAAGTTTCTTATGACGAGTCTGTTTTCCGAATGAGTGGTAGAATTAATTCTAAAATACTTATGATAAATTTGTTTTAATAAATATTATTTCTATATTGATTCGATCAAAATTTTATAGCCAAATTCTTCAGTACATAATTTCACAGAAGTTGGTTATAATGTTTTTAAAAAAATTTTTTGCTTTTTGTTAATTTTATGCAGTTGTGCGAGTAGCTATAATAACTAGATAGGCGATGTATATATATATATACGTATACGTAAAACACTATTAATTATGATAAAACAACTCTTGGTTCCTATTCTATAAGGAATGTCATATGTGCACATAAAACTATTAAGTATGTCAGTAGGCAGTCTAGTAAAATACTGTAAACATAGATATTTAAATACAATTTTATCAACATCTGCTTTGTAGATAATATATCGACAAATAGTGATTTCGTTATTGATTAAGTAGAATGACTTGTGGATAATAATCGTAGTCTATTATTGTTATTGTTGCAAACTCTTTGCAAATTTTTATATATTTATGTAATATTGAATGTATTTTTTTATAAATTATACATTATCTTATATTGTTAAGTTTACTGTTATTACACTGTCCGTGCGCTTACTGCAAATATTTACCATTTTTTACCCGTTGTTTCATTCATCTACACTCAACAAATCTATTGCCCACATTTATTATTTACCCTTAAATAATTTACTATAATTGTAATTTTAATGTATTAACACTTTTACAACTTTAAGAAATAAAAAAAAAACAGCGCGTAGCGCGTGCGAGCGTTGTCACACGATTTCATAACGTCAGTGATGATGAGATTTATGTATGTAGGCGACGAATAACTTCATTAACATTTCAGTTACATAAATAAAAAGAACTGAAACACAACTCAGATCGTCGGTAAATACGCGTACCCTAAATTTAAATACCACATCTCTTGATTGGATACCTAATCAATCCAAACCAATAAACGTGTGATCTATTTTGAGAAATAAAGTAAAAGATTCAATTATAGAAACGGACCACCGTTTAACTATATAAATATAGTTCAGGACTATACCTACTTGTATAAAACTCCAGGATTTAACTGAGTTGAAACAATGTTAAGTTAAGAATTTTATTATCTAATATTACCTATTATCTAAAATTTTATACAGATATATATAAAATATTTCACATACCTGTATAGCTAAGCTGTATAGTGTATATATATTTTAGTTATCTGTATCAGTTCAAAATCTAAATATATATAACTCAAAGGTGACTGACGTAGTGATCTATCAACGCACAGCCCTTACCACTGGACGGATCGGGCTGAAATTTGGCATGCAGGTAGATGTTATGACATAGGCATCCGCTAAGAAAGGATTTTGATTAAATATAGTAGGATATAGTAGGCTATGAAACTTTGTCAATTTTAAACCGAACGGGCTGAGACTTTGCATGCATAAAGCTACTATGACATAGGCATCCCCTAAGAATTTTTTTAGGATTTTGATAAATTCCACCCCTAAGGGGATAAATTAACGCGAGCGAAGCCGCGGGCAAAAGATACTTTACCATATATTTCGAACATATATTATTACATATGGTTATTACTCTTCAAAATTCCGCTTCTTTTCATTAATAGCAACTCGTTAATCATTTGACAAAATTTATCAATTATTTGCCAATCATTCTTCAACTGATAGATCTCTAATAAGACAACACAATTAATAAACCGATGCGTTTGGATTATTGCACAAATAGTTCATTATAATTATATATGTTATATATAAAGTGAGTGTGTATATAAGTGTTAAAAATAGATTTTTTGAAATCCCCACTAGAACGGTTGAATGCGCGGGCGACCACAAGTAATTGTAACTTATTTAATATTTGTTATAAAAAATAAAATAGAAGTCATGAATCTATATGTCTAATATGACTTTTTTTGTATATATAGTAGTTGTCCCGGCAAACGTTGTTTTGCCATATAAATTTAGGTACTAATATAACTTCGCCAAAACAGGTGTTGGTGATAGTAGGGTGAAAATTTAGGGTTGTATGTATTGTTTAATCCCATTTGAAAAAAAAGTGTCTAAAACATAAAAATAAAATGTTAGGGGTGGACAACCCTTATCACTTAGGAGTATGAAAAATAGATAGTAGCCGATTCTCATACCTATACGTACTCATATAAAATTTCATAAAACTCAGTCACTCCGTTTCGGAGGAGTATGGTAACTAACATTGTGACACGAGAATTTATATATATAAGATATTATATTTCGATGTCATCTAATAGTAGGAATGATTAATTAAATTTTACAGAGCAAGTAGTAGATAGACCATTGTCAAAGAGAGTTGGTTATTACTATATATACTAAACTATTTAATATATTAATAATATATTCTCTTGATATGTGTGATCTTACTACGTCCGAAGGCTAAGAAGGCAGAAGAGGTGCTAAGCGTCACGCTTCACCGACCGTGCGTTACAAAGCGGGTCCGCATATATCGAGCTCTGTGAATGCTAACTTCATACTGGAAACTATTGTGTATATTTGTATGTAAAAATTACAATCACAGATCGGAGTAAATACACCCACACATAGATATAGTATATTATATGCCATATAGAATGTAATATTATGCTAACATATGGCCGAAGTAGGTTTTGTACAATGTTGTCTGTGTGAGTAACTGTATGACCAATTGCAAACGCCAAGGACTTTGCTTTGTAAGACGTGTTTTGGCGGAAGGGTGAGATACATCAGTGAAATTACAGGGTACTGAGATATGACATCTAGTCCTGTAGAAAGGCAACGAGTAAATAAGTGCCACAGGCGTAATATGATGACGTGATCTATATATATTACTGTTGACCTACATTATTTGACATTCCAGGTACATGAAAAAAATATTTGCAGTAGAACATATTAGAAATATTTGTTCCACCAAAAGCCGTACCTATGTATACGAAATCGACCCCGAAAAAATCATTTAAATAATGAGTCTACCTATCATTTCAGTTTTGGCAAAAATATTGTACAAAATATTAACTAATTTAGAAATATCTCGTTTTGGTGGTTGGTTGATTAAAATTGAAAAATCAATTTATGTATAGGTTAACGCTGACAATTTAAAAATTTGTATCGTTTTTTAGAATGTTATGTACAAACATATGTTTATGCATTATGTTTGTACATAACATTCTAAAAAACGATACAAATTCTTAAATTGTCAGCGTTACATATTGCATATTTGTCATTGAATATCAATTTCATAGAAGCAAGATTACTTTTAGCGTTAACTGCATAATGCAATCGCTTATCCATACTGATACAACCCCGACTATGTACTACAGCAACATGAAAATTGAACAATGGCCTTAGTTCATTGACACTGGTGCGGTTTGAAACACATACATACAGTTTCTTTTGCTCTAAATGAAAGTGAAAATTAAATCATAAAGTAAAATAAACATATCTTGTACAACTGTGCTACAACTCTCTAATATGAGAGATACAGTGACTCATTTTTTATTTATTTATACATGTAGCACATATATAATAGAGTTATGAGTCTATTAATATAAATAAACATACCATCACGACTGTTATCACGGTTGGGGTAGTCAATAACACATGACATGCCAACATTTCACTCAGTATATTTTTAAAATCTGCGGCGAGCTTACCAGCGTTTCTGTTTTTTTTTGGTTTGCTATTGGCGTTTTGTCTGTCACCATATTGTAAATCATAAATACAAAACCAGATTTGAATGCATACATACTCTTTAAATTACAAATATATACCTACATATACATATATATTATACACACTTTTATATACCTACTCATTAGACGGCTTCTCAAGGCTACGTTAGAAAAGATATCTCAGTGAAATAAGTTTCCCATTCTATATAGAAATTCATTTATATCATTTTGTAAACTTCTGTACAATAAAGATTTTACAATATAATATATGTATTGCATAATCACAAATTAAAATAAAATCAGGTTTTTTAAAGTAAACTTAAATATTTACATATATTTCTGGATAGTCACTTAAAAGTGAATGGAAAACATTAAATGATATTAATTATATGTCGTTTTAAAATATTACAATTTGTCGTGAGTCATGCTAAGATACAGTTACTATAATTATGTCAGTCATACCGAAAAGAGTAAAGTGAATCTGAACAGTTATATTATAGAATGAAATCTTTATATTTGATGATAGATTAAAGAAATGTGTCTAATGCGTAAATATTGTATGCATAATGCAAAATATAAAATCGTTTTTTGTAACATTGAAATACTTTGATTGCATGAGAAAACCTTATTTTTAAAATGATTGCAAAAAATTTGATATACAGTGCAAATATTATGATAAACAGATAAATTTTCAGTGTTAGTGTATGACCGGTCTTAAATTAAATTAGAATAAGATTTTGTATGTGACTAAAATATTTTCTAAGCGGCTCCGTGAAAGAAGATAGTAAACATAGTCTATTGACATGAATGGCACTAAATGCATCAGAAAATATTATGTGACATCCCGTGACACCACCTATGCTGCTATTCCAGAAAACTAAGATGTCATGCCGCTTATTCTGTAACTTCACTAGTCTAATCTGCACCCCAAAACCGAAATCTAGCTTACAGAAATAGCTGATTGTCAGCTGAAAGAATTGAAATTGAGGTGCCCACGGGGACTACTTTTACATACTACCTCTGGTATATATGTTATGAACTTACTGTGTTAATTGGCATATTTCTTCAGGTAGTTCTCTTATTCTGTTGTCGGTGATATCGAGATGTGTTAGTGAGTGCAAGTTCCACACTTGCGGGGGCAGCACAGAAAGTGTATTCTGGCGGATGCGTAACACCCGCACCGTAAATGCACCAACTGCGTGCTGAGCTAGGGCGGCGCTGAGAGAAGCGCGCCCGCAACCGCTAAGATCCAGCACATTTGGGGGTTGTGTACTTTGAATAGCCTGGAAGAAGAGGTATTTAGATAGATAAATCTTTTATTCTATTCATTTTATTATTACAGAGAGCATAAGTAATTCGATATAATTTAAGGTTAACAAATATGTGATCTTGTGTGTGAACTTCAGTAATGTATTGCTCAGACTACAAAACAACAACTTGTTGTTCGAATTCCTATGTATCAACAAAAACATTAATAATTGTATGAAAATTTATTTTATGTCGTTCAATTCTAGTTACTGCAATGTTATGGGCATTTCCATATCCAAAATAATATTACGAGTATGAAGAGAGAACATTTAATTTCTTTTGTGTAATAGACAGAAAGTTCATAACTGATTTTAACTTTATAATTATTTCACCTATCTAACAGCTTACATGATCAGCGAGTGATATGAACCGTATTTTATTTTCAACATATTTTGTTATTTATTTTATTTTATTTTATTATACCTACATGTAGATACATATACGATAATTGCACTCGTGCTAATACTATTAATACAGTGCGAACATAATTTGATTGATTTAGAATGGTTATCAGGGATGAGCGAAAATTTAGGTATTCATTGGAAAGTCATGTAAATAAGTTAAAATAATATGTCATTAACACAAATTTATTATTTTATAAATAATATGTAACACACCGTCTCATCATATTTGTCCTGCAGCATAGCTGGCTCCAAGCTGTCAAGATAGTAATCGTCATTTTGTTGATTGAACACATCCAAACTATCCATGTCTTCTTCGTTCATTTTTATATGATCCTTTTCACCATCACATCATTCACTACACACAACATTTTACTATATAACTTATAATATTTAGCATTCGAACACTATTATACATAGTTGCCTTTTTAAATATAGTTGACACTTAAAATCCGTTGGTTTCGGTATAACCGTGATGAGGCCGACGAACTCCAACAAGCATTGTTATTCCCAAAGACTACAAAGCTTCTGTCTGGCGATTACATTATTCTGATCACGAATTTGTAGCTTGCATAAATAGTATTTAAGCGTCCTTGCTAATGTTGCTTGTATTGTTTCGAGAAAAACCATCAAGTATGTTAGAACAATCGATTGTTTATGATTCCAATTTCGAAATGTTTACAATGTTTTGTACACTGGTTTTATTAAATCACTGATCTATTTAGTTAGTGGGTACACTGGTACATGAAGTATAGGTAGTGCGACCGTTTGGAGTGCCTTTTCACTACCGTCGGTGACGGCAACTGACTGTCTCGAGAGCTGTCGCGCGAGTCATGCTCGTACTCTGGACACCTCGACCGTGACTTTTCTCTTAGGGTATTGCGCGCAATTTCTAATTAACACACTGTACAGACATTAATTTGCAAGTAAGTATATAAATTTAACTTTTCTATTATTAAACTTTCATTACTTAAAAGTGAAAATATCTGTCAGTAAGTCAGCCAATTACTACTTTATATTTTTGAGATTTTACCAAAAAAATTTATGTAAAAAGATAAAGAGTATTACATAGTATATCAGTATCACAAGGTATAACTAAATTATAATATAACTATGTATTAATTAGCTAAACAAATGTTACTGTTAACCGTGTGTAGGTATAATACTAAATACTTACCTATGTCTAAATGTTTCGACGAAAACTTCATAGTGTCGCAGGTTATCTATACCTACTATTGAAATTATAATTGTAAAAAATTGCAAAGATTTTAATCTGTATTTGGAGTATTTAAAATCTACAAAAGTTATAAATTATAATAAAATAATAAATATTTAGATGCCCCTATAACGCAATTTTATTATTAAGCTCATAACCCTATCTTAAATGAGATAAAATCGCACATTGAAATGTCAAAAGCTTAATATGCATTGAGAATCGGAAGATTTCTAGCAATTTGTTGCTGTTAGGTTAACGGCTCGTTAGTTTAGGAAGTGTACCGGAATAGAATTCTCAGTCATCTGCTAAGAATTCACTAGACATTCCATGAAGCGCACCGATGCAAATTGATGCTGATCACAAATAAATTGCGTTTAAAAATTATAATACAACTAGTATATGATATTCATACTAATATCTACTACAAGTAAGTTTTCGATCCAATCGTGACCAATTAAACATCTCCGAAGGAATCACTAATTTTCTAGGTTGTCTTTTATGTTCATGATCGATCATTTCCGCATTCAGACAGAAACATTACAATGTACACCTCCTACTTCGCGGAATTAGATAAATATTCTATATAATTTCAACAGAATTGGACCATAGGCAATCAATGTGTATTATTCATTTATTTATATTATCAAACCAATAATTGTATAATGGGATGATCTGCTTTGGTTCTTATTATAAAAAATATTATTAATTAAATATTAGTGTATGTCAGTATGTACTAATATAACTTATTGAGACTTTTGCATCAATGAAATTAATTTTCAAATATAAATTATATGCTTATATAGCTTTAATATTTGGATATAGGTAGATATGGCTAATGGTTAATGCTATCTTAAATAATGCTACCATATCTGTTTCTATTTATATGGAGAACAGAAAGTAAATCCTTTCTCTCTCTCTATCAAATCATACTATGTATTTAAGTTAAATTTCGTACCTCTTTTAACCAGCAGAACCACATATTTCTCTCCCACACATTATTGAAACCCAAGAAGAGATGATTCATTCCTCCATCATTCGGAATACTGTTTCCTTGACAACGAGGCTTCACGCATATCACCAACCTCTGGGACTTGGGGTTACAAAATTCGATAGCACCTCCACTTAGCTCTAGCATTTCCCATGACGTACCTAAAAAAAAATAATAGAAACTTATTGTAAGTATTTGGTTAATGTAACAGATTGTATGAACATTACATTAAATAATTCAACTCACCGTAAGTATGCAAACATGAACCAATTATGTGAGCTGGTCGTGGTTTCCATTGTGGGAATACATGTCCCTTCAGCACGTAAAGAGTTCCGGATCGCAAAGCACCCCCGAAACGCGTAGTCGGTCCAGTACACCATCGCAGAGAATGTCGCAGTTCAGGGTCTACTGCCAAACGCAAACGACGCGCTTCAGACTTCCAACCATATGTAGCCAAAAATTGCTCTTGAATTCGCAAAGGAAATTCATCTAGTTCCATTCGCCTAGACTTTTCTCCGCCTATTTGCATCCATAATGTCAACTCTTCTCCAAAACCTAGCGTTTTGTTTAAATCTTCAACGGTGGTGTTGTGTGAAACCTTGACTAACTTACTGGCTGCATCAACCGAGAAGGGCTCTAGTCCATCAAATACCCTTATCCAGCCTGAATCGCAGGCTATTCGAGGTTTGAAACCACGCGTGGATGCGAGTCGGCGTAAAGACTTTCGACGAAGGTGAGGTGATGAAGCGTGTAAGCCGTCATCGCAAACCATGGTGCGGCGGCAGGTGGTCGCGGACCGCGATGGCCGGCGTCGCAATGCCCGCGCGCCGGACTACGCGCCCGCCGCTGCATAACAATTGGGTCGGATACGTAGTGGGGGTGGGAAACATGTTGCTCGGTCAATCGGGAACTCGGTGGAATACAAATTGAGTTCAATAATAATACCATAATAGTTCGTTCATCAACGTTACCTGATTCTTATTATTATTTTCAAGCATTCGGCAAGAAAGGAGGTACATGATTATATGATTATTTCGCCAAAAACTGAATAGATTTCTCGATATTTTTTGTAAATTGGTTCTTCCTGTTGGTTCTATACATTATTACATACATATATGTAAATTAAAACGGATACGAACGGACGAAACGGAACTTCAGATTTTACTTTAAAATTCGTCTATTTCTGTTTTGTTTTTATATTTACAACACAAAACAATATCTAAAATACGTAAAAATATAGATTTTTTTTTTCAAGGCGCAGGAACTAAAATTTTTTACATTAATTTGTGAATTTTTAGCAAGTGGTGTAAAATTAAGAGAGTGTGGAGTTACGATAATAAGGATTGCTCTCATTTCTAATTATTTAGTCTATATCATATTTATGCTTCTTTAAGCACGATGAAATTTACAGTTACTGTATACTATTTTAAGGAAATATAGTTACGTAAGATAGATAAGTCGGGCAAAGGCGAAACAGTCATGAGGTGGTGTCACGCGCCGGCAAGCACCCCACTTGCTGACTCACCTGTTGTGCCCGAGAGCATGACCCTTGCCTACATCTGACGGTTTGTTGTTGATACAAAATACATTACTTATGTTCAATTAATAGTACAACGATTTTTGATGATGATGATGACGATGAATGTATTTCATTGATAACAATGACGTTGTATCGTATAAAATAATCTATATAAATGCATTTTTTAACTAATTGAATTAAAAGATTTGTTGTAAGTAAACGATTAAAAATATATATATATGACCAATGGAACGCTAAAATATCTCTGAATATTAGGTAAGATAGTGCATTACAATGCAATAATGAATCAATCAACTTATCAACCTTAACACTGTGTAAGGTATTTTAAGAATATTAAGTAGTTCAATATCATACTCAGGAATTTATTAGAGCTTGATTTTATACGTTTGATTTGTCACGTGCATTGAATCGAATTTAATAAAAAGAAACATGTACTAATGTTTAACAATAACATAATAGAAATGAACCGAACCGTTTAAATAATACATATTGATAAAGCTGTGGAAAATAATATTTTCTACATTTTTAAAATCATATCTTGAAGCGTAGCCATTTTAAAAATACATATCATTGAGTTAAGTTTTATTTTAAATTCTACAGAAATGTACATTGTTAGTTCTTTTTGACAGTCTCAGTGGTTTAGGTTTTAGCACACCGCTTTATTTCCGATCTTCTGGATTCGATTCCTCGAACGATGCAAACTATTTGTAGCCATGAGAATAGTTGTTTGTCAGGGTGCTTTTCTCCGTACATTACGTATATATTTACAAAAAAATGTACTATGTATTTCTGTCACTGGTCTAGTGACCATACCACAAGATGCTTGTGACTTGAACTTGGGACTAGATGGCTCTGTGTGAATTGTTCAAAGTTATAACTACACATTTATTCATATACACAAATATATAAGTTGTTTCCAATGTTATTAATTAAAACCAATATAGTTTTATAGCTATTTATGTACAGTTTAATACGGATAATTTATATCTATACATGGGATATACAAAAGAAGACAAACCAACAGGCTACCAAGGATAATTTTTATATAATTTAGTATCACCGCATCCACACGTCGCATTGCAGTAGCCTTGTCCGCAGATATCTGTGAAGCCCACCAGTTGATCACAATTTGAGTAAAAGTCCTTAAGAGGACATGAGTTGGCGCAGAGCTCATCTGAAACGCAGTCATGCGGACAGTCGCCGCACGGTGAACCCACCTTATAAGGATACTGGGTTATGGTGTCGATGTTGCCTCTGTAAATTTGAACAAATACTAAACTTTTTATGTGTTCGAAATTAATCTTCTGAGGTAGGCTTTATACCAAGTCGCCTGTCTAAGTACGTCTATCTCACCAATTTCATTCGCCACGAAGTGCTGTATATTATCTGTAGGTTTGAAGGGTGAAAGGTTTCGATATGATATTTTTATTTCAGAATACGGTGGCATGACAAATTTTTTATCTAATGACTTGTCACAGGCGTTAAGACATGATATGTTATGTTATGATACATAACGCAGAGATTTTCGTAGTGCTTTTCATGTACATAGGCGAAGATTGACATTTTCAACCAGATGAGAGACTGTGTGGTATTTACTTCGCGACAAAACTTTGGTTCCATTTACTTTACACACATACTACATATATAGTTAACAGTTGTACCTACATGATAATGAAAAAAATTTGAGATGAGACAGTTACACATTAAAAAAATATTCGAAGCTATTACTGTACTTTTTATATATGCCACGAACCTACAGGTTAAGATGCATACCGTAGACCATTTTTTGTTATATCTAAAACTTGTATAAAACTACAATTCTAATAATAAATATGACAAAGCCGCCTGCCTATCTGGTTAGAATGAGGTTTCTATTGTACAGTGTGCTATTTCAATTGAAACCGCCTGGCCAACTAGTAAATTAAACATTTATATGGTACTAGTTGTTACCCAAGTCTTCATTTACTTTTTACGATAACAATTTAATATCATGTCATACTTCATTAAGATACATTCGGCCGTTTAGTCGTGGGATTCTAGACATACTGAAAAATTGATACTCATTATGTACTAGCACAAAGAAAATTTCATAATTACAGAGGTTTCGGCGATTTAGTGTTTTACTACAAATTTAGTTTAATTTATCTATATTTAGATTAGTAGATATTGAAAAAATCACTTACGCTGGACAATAGTGGCACACATAATTATAAAAATGTCCCCAAGGGCCACCAGGACAATGGGCTAGTCCACATCCCAACTTATGACTTGTGGCCCATACCATTTGCGTATAATGCCCAACTGCTTTTAAATTATGAACCGGAGCGCCATACGTGAAATTTTTGTACTCGAGGAACCAAGTCTTGAGTGCGAAAAACCTGGAACGTAAGGTAGTGCTTTTTGTTTATAGTTTCTAAAATATCGTGGGTATAGAAACTAGCTGTTATGTGCAACATAATTGATACAAATAATATAGAAAATATAGGTATATACTAGGTCCGTCCTCATAATAAAATCTATTTTTATATTAAATTTTATTAATATTCATCCTACAGTTTATTTATGAACAAACAGACTGACAAACTCAATGTCGCATATACAATATTAGTATAGATACATATATGACTATTGACACAGTTTTCATCAAATATAACACAATTAAGTATTACGAATAACAGCAAAATAGCATGGAATGAAATGGCGTGTTGATATCTAAGTAAGGGAATTAACATTTATATAACTAACTAGCGTAACGTATTTGAAAACACTTCAGTCGGTAAAAGATGATTATATGTAGTTTTTAGTTATGATGAACAGAAATTCATGCATTTTAGTAAGTTTTATGATAATGGAATAGACAATGCGGTTGCGCTATCACAAAGGTAATAGGATGAAGACAAATCAATTAGCCATATTAGGAATTCATAAGATTTCAATAACTAATGAATGATGTAATATATTCAATTATTAATAGCCGTATTTACTTTTAGAATACTGCATTCCATATGAGGAGAAAAATAAAAACTTATTCACGAAATATTTTATTATTAAAAATAGCAAGAAAACCAGATTGTTATATGGAGAAAATTGTATATATACGTACATAGAACAGTACATTTTAATGAATTAGAAATTTTGTTAATCTAAAGAGAACTATTATATCTACGTACGAGTAGCACCGGTTAACCTATTTCTAGTAATGTGTAGTATATATAGTCAGGCTAGCCCATAGAAACCAAACAATTTATAGTGAATTCGCTATAATGGGCTCAATGACCTAAATTCCTGTATAAACCTCTACTGATGCCCCGATGCAAACTGATACTGTTATCGTATGTAAATGCTTCCTACTTTAACATCCTACTTTATTCATTACAAAAAAGGACCTAAACATATTCAGTACCTAAGATCCTATGATAAAATACGATGCGTGGTGTTATGTGGCAATGGATTGTATCATATTCAATAATTTATGTTATACTACCTACTCTTATTTAGTTGTAGGTATGTAAGACAGCTATTATATTGTTATACGTATCTAACTTATTAAGTTGAACTGATTAATTTTCATTTCAACTTGGACACTTTAATGGCATCAATTATCGTCCGGAAGAATTAATGCTTACAGCTCGATTGCAAGTATTAAAGGGCAGTCTATTCACTATAATTTATTAACTGTGAAATTGATTATGTGTTCACGAATTTGCTATTATCCACAAGGAATGAGAAAAAAAAATCGTGACGGACACAACTGCTAGTCGCGGAAATAGATACACACATCAATAAAAAAATTAAACTAAACAAGACCGATAATTTATCATCTCATTCATGGGAATTGTTACAATAATTATAATATTAAGAAACCTTGACGCGTAACATCACACACTGGTTTTATGCGTAGCATATCGCTTTCATATAGCAATAAACGAGAATGAAGAAGAAATATTATAGATATACCTACTTAAATATATTAAAAGTTTGATTAGTAGATAATTACTGAAAAACCTACAAACTAGTAACACTAGTAGCTAAATTAATTTGCTATTTATATAACTCAGTTTTGTATTCATAATACGTCGTTTGTTACTAAAGTTTGGTTACTTAAAAAAAACAATAAACTTGATTTATACTAGATAAATCAAGTTTATTGTTTTTTTTTATCAACTAGCATTTTTTTATTTTATATCTTTTGGTATATTCGCAATAATCTCAAAAAATCTGATCAGAATTTCATTCAATTAGCCATTGATAGAGTGATAGAATAGAAAATTATTTATTCAAATAAACTTAATTTAAGCACTTTTGAATAGTCATAACAATTTGTTTGTTTATCTACCACTCGTTCGGAAAGCTGTCTCATCACAAGAAGAACGAACAAGAAACTTGTGTGTTGCTCTTTTAAATAATCCTTGTATATATCTTTGTGTTCAGGAGTATTTATATATTATGTAATACGGTCGTATTAAACAAAAGGAGGTAACCCGTAAATTTTAAAACAAGTTGCCATGTGTAGGCATTGCATTATCTCATGATAATTTCAAACACATTTATCAATGTATGTAAAGGTAATTATAATATAGTGTGTTTCTATTAAGTACGCTTATTATAAACTATAGAGTATTGATTTGGCGTCATGAGATAATTTTTAACAAACAGTAAAAACTATATTATAAGACTGCAGATCTTCTCGCTTTGCTATAGCAGCTGATTTATTTATCGAAAAATAATATACCTACTTACTTCAGTTGTAGATAATTTAGTACAATGATATGATATGTTTTTATAATTCGCGCATCGTGAATCATATTGCAATAAAACTTTATTTGTTAACGGTCAACTCTGTCCTTTTGTTCATTATAATACTTTTCCATAAGAGCGATGAATAATATTAAAGTTAAAATAAATGTATTAAATTTGTGGCTCTGTACTTTTATATATTAAAGTAACTCCAATTTATAAAATAATATTTTATTTCTGAGAGGAAATACCAATGATACACATAGATATTTAAGACATAAACTTGATTTCTTAACAAAGGTATTTTATATTTCAATTTAATTAATTAATTACAAATTAATTGGTGGTATTATGTTATTAAACCTATTAAAGCAAAGCAAGACCTAAACCAGTCTCTTGGATTAATTAGTTTTATTGACAAAATTTTAATCATCAGTATATTGGTGGAAAATATCAGTAATTATGTACAATACTACTAAAAAATGTGGAGCGTTCCAATGTTTTTTAAGAAAAGTTGTATCGATTTTTTATTATGAAATAATAATCTGTATTTAGTACCGTACAATTACCACAAGAAAAGAAAATTAAATAGAAACATTTCATTTCATAAATATTTAAATGACAAATATTTGCTCACCATGGAGTTTTCTGTGCAGCAACGAAGAGATTTTGTCCACAAGAACCTAGTCGTGGCACGGTATTTTCACTAGGATCGTTGTGTTGTAGGAATACGCATTGCTCTGCATATCGTTGAGCTTGTCGTGCCGCCCTTTCATGCCACGACTGAAATAACAATTAAAGTTGGATGTACTTATAATCTTCTTATATAATCTATTTTAGTTTTATATATATATATATATATACTTTATTGCACTTATTACATTAATAGACAACGACAGTTATACTCAATTATATTTTAAACTTCTGACCCATATATAACTAATTGCAAAGTTGCAAAGATTGTAAAAGAACAAATGTTTTATTTTTATAAATTCTCATATAAAATTTACTATATAAGATAACCAAAACACAGGTAAGTTGAACAGCTGCCACATGGAAAGAATATGAAACTCACAAGAAACTTAGCTGATACATTATTTATGGTATTTTTTTAAATGACATATCTATTGCACCGGCTCCAAATTATGGGATAAAGGCAAGGCAATTAAAAGATTATTTTTTTAATCAATCCTAAATATTAGGTACATAGCATTTAAGTAGCATATTTCAAATGTAAAATCCCTTGTTTGAACAACTAACGCCATCCAATTATTTTTAATTTGTTTCAACTTATACCTAGTTTAGTTTCAAATACGCAGTCACATGGGAATTTGTACTTTGCGCATGCTTTCAAAGGTTGTAGATCAGTCAGTCAGATAGATAATTTTATTACAAACTGCAAAAAGTATAAAATAACTCTAATTAGTAAACGTTTATCATTGTTTATCCTTATAACTTATATGATGGGAATTTACATTGCAGCAGCGCTTTACGCTAGTAATAATAAACAACAACAAACAAACACATATTTATGAAATATTATGTTGATTATAAAATGTACTTATCATAAAACTAAAAAAAAATTAGGTAACCTATTTGTTATATTGATATTAGATCATAGTTCATTCACTCATGACGGTGGCTTTCTATGGTACAAAATGGTATTATTTTCCTGTTTGTTGTTAAAAAACATTTCGAGTATTCATTGGTTCGTAACCTTTAAAAATAATGTATAGGTAGGTATAATTAGCTCATATTTTTGTACACAAATAAAAAACTGTGTTTTTATTATACTTAGTTGCGTACCGTTTCAATAACCTTTTTGATACTCCTTGCTCGTGACTTTTTAATTCAAATTACGTGACAATAATTTTATAAATATACATAGATATTTAAATTATTAATTGAAATGGCAAACTAACTGACTTCTAACCTCTATTGAGATTTTAACAATGTATAGATTTAAGACAAAAGTTTAAAAACAGGTAATTCAGATAATTAGTAAGTAATGTCTATATTTTATATTGTTAGAAGCATTATTATGCTACATTGTTTGTTGGTACTACAGTTTTATTTTTAGTAATAGTTTTTAATACTGCATTTAAATAGGTAGACAGTCTTATAAGTTTCTTTAATGAATTTTACGAGCAATTTTCTTGGCGCTGTCTAGCAAGCAGACAGTTAAAACAGTGACAACAATGACCAATCAATCACTTAGAACTCATACATTTAATGAACAATGACTTCACTTTTATTGAGTACATAGCGTTCTCTTTTGACTATTTTCAATCTTTGGTAAGAAATGTTAATGTTTATACTCTGTATAAATATATATATATATACTCTATATAATATAACAAAGAGAAGAAGTAGAATAAAAAGAATTTGGAAAAATTTTACTATCACATCTTAAAGTTACTGTTTACCTAATATATGAATAAATGTTTTTACAAAACATTGGTTAATAATTGATTAAAACAATCTAAAAATTTTAAATTTATGCATAAAACATATTGTTATTCTCACTACGATACGAGTATAATAACTATTTCCTTAGTTATAAGAGTCAATTGGTCATAATGTGAATGATATGGAACCCTATTGTAGCGAACACTGATTCGCACGTAACTAGTTTTTATTATGACTGATTGTTTATATTTAGAATTGCATGGGAATTTATTGTCAGGGTACTCACCATTAAAAGCATATTAGAAGCCGAGGGACGAACTTTAGAACGCAAAAAGTTGTGGTATAATATTATTTTTCGTCTAACGATTGCACGCTTCGGACTTAATGCATTATCAGGTATTTTGTTCGGTGAAAATAGCTCTGAAAGTAATGTAAATATTAAATACAGTTCATTATGCCATCAAACTTTAGTACTTCTATAAAAATACCTACGTTTGTTTTCATCCAAAGTTCTCAAGGAATCTATCGTTACTACGGCATTTAAAATAAGAAATCCATGAATCCACAATGCACTTTTTGAAGACATTCTATAAAACAAAAATATAATGATAAATATATGATGTTGTGAAACCACCCCGCAGCCTAACTTACTGTGCTAATTTAAACCGCCTTATCGTAGGTATATCTAACGGTTGAAGTTGGCACAATTCTTTATACCTACAAGCCTGCTATTATTAAATGTTTGTAATGTATGTATGTAAAGATACGAATTAAAATATTAAATGCACAGAATTTAATGCCATTCTAAAAGGCGTGACTTTAGGCGTGGAGAATATAAACAATTTAATAATGTTATAGCTAATCTATGACTTCAAAGACAAAAAAGTAATTTCTTTAGTTATAATTGCCCATATATTGTTACTATATAGGTACATCTACAGCAAGAATTGTGTGTAAAGACACAAGTCAAGAGTAACACAGCGCTACTTTCTACTTACCCCGTAGATCTGGGGGGAATTATACTTAGATAGATTTTACAACTGACAGATGTATAAATAAATTTTACAACTTAGTAGTGCACCATTATTATGCTCCTTATGTATCTAATTATTATCGTATACCTACCACATAAAGTGTGAATATATTTTTTTGTTAAATCTATTATCCTTGAAGTACCTATGTATCGTGTAAAACACTTAGCCTCAAATGTTCGATATACTCTTATTTGCATAACAAATATATTTATTCCATTTGTTATATCTGTTATTTACAAGTATTTCTACAATATATTATACTATAAAATTGCAAAAGTAATTGTAATAAAATAAATAAAATTATATAGGTACATACAAATGTACCGTGAAACAAATCGATAAAGTTCACTTAAAAGTCAACTTGTTTACATGCCAGAAATTTAATAAGTACTACTTACGATGAATATGCCAGTGTAAAAATTAAAATAAAAGAAAATCAATCTGATCAACTTACATTTTTAATTGGCAACACGGACTAATTAATTACCTTGTAATCTAAGCTTTTTTAAATACTTCGCGTAGGTACTAATTATGCACTTTTAAACTCTTGTGTATCTGTTGAACATTTCTAAACTACAAATAATTTTATTTCATTATAATTAAATAGGCACGTGGTTCTCACAACCGCATCACACGAATGTTTGTAATGAAATACACCAGAGTTTGCTGACCACACAGAGGCATCGTCGCGAAATGATCCTTGATAAATAATCATTACTTAACATAAACAAAAAATGGGAATGCCACACATGAATAGATATATCTTCTGACGGTTCCGTGGGCCAAACAAGTCGCACTTTAGCGTTAAAATAGAAATAGATTTCGTAACATATGTACTAACAGCTACTGAAACAAAAATTGTTTTATATAATAGGAATGACAAACAAACGCACAGCTTACCTGATGGTAAGTGATAATCATACCTTGTAATTTCATTTGCCACTTTTGTCGATATACAGTTTACAAAGCCAGTTACTTGGGGGTAGGAATACTCGTTCGTAAAAGAAATGTACTCACCCTGACGACTTAGCATTAAGTTAACTTCGGTATAGAAATATTCTTTATTCGTTCTATAACCACTAATCATCCTTCAGCTTAGGCTTACTATAATCAACATGAACTAACACGAACATCATACATTTTTTTAACAAATAACATTTTTAGAGTATTTTTGTGTCTAATAGCTACATTATGTGGAGTCTGAATTGGTATTCAAAACTCAAGATTTTCAAGTAACTGAATACGTAAATCTTACTAATATTATAAACGTGAAAGAGCTTGAGTATGGATGAATGTTTGTTACTCTTTATTGCAAAAACTACTGAACGGATTTTAATGAAATTCTAAAGTAATGTAGCTTATACATCAGGATAACATATAGGCTATAAATATCACGCAGGTGAAACCGCATGCACTTTTATTAGTATATATAACAAAGAACCCTATTTACTAATAGATAGATAAGTAGGTATATAATTATTTTGACACTGTAATTGCGTAGACCTTTTCTTTGTTACATTGCGTCGCGTCGTCAACAATAGATGTAGAACATATTATAGTATATACTACAAAAGGTAAGAATTAATTTAATGGGTAATAACTATAATTGTCGGTTTTTTATGTTAGATATGTGAACAACCCAACATCTCATTCAGACAATAAAACCTTGTTAGCAAATGCACAAACCTACTGAATTAGGTATCTATATGTATTTCAGATACCTCCATTTAACATATTTAACTGTAACCTGTGTTAATTTAAGAAATATTATTGCTATGAAATTAATTATTAGAAATTATTACAATATGAAAAGCTGTTGACAATTAACTATAGAAAAAAAGTATTTGTACACCATTTAGTAATTGTTAAACAATTACCTAAAATTAGTCATGGCCCATATCAATCTACATAAATTGTTATTCTCACGCTTCAAGTCATTCAATTAAAACCGGCATTGATATGATGTATATTCTTAACAAATTGACGCCTTGACGCCTGCTGGGGTTATATTGATAGGGTTGATTACATATCGATACTTACAATACATCGATATACAATAATGTTAATAAACTTATATTATTTTATTTTAAATAAGTATAGGTAGATAATAAAAGTACTAGGACTGATGGTACTCTCTAATGGACTATTACTTTTCTAGGATATTAACATAACGTCGCAACTGTTATCAACAGTTGACAGTGACTCGGAAAAACGTGTTGGTTCGTTGAAGCATCTTCAAAAGTAGTAAGGTACCTGGGTCGAATATGGCCACGTTAAGGTTTGACACTAGAAATAACGTATTTTATAACAATGAAAAGATACAAATCAGTATTTATTTGATAACGTATTCATTTAGGTAATATATCGCGGGCACGGAAAAACCTAGAAACGGATAGGTTAGGATTTGTGTTAATTTTTTTGTGTTAAGTTGGGAAAATGGCCATTTTTCCGACAGTGTATGTGAATATGGCCAGGTGTTGGCCATATTAACGGTATGAACTGACTATAAAGGTAATTTCTATTTGCAAGGGAACTTAGTGCTATAAATAAAATTAATTTATTGAAACAACTTGTTTAATGAAATATAGGACAAAAAAAAATTCAACTCAGAACAAAAATAATGTTTTACATTAGTAATTAAGTAACTAATTAAACCTCTGTAATAACACAATTTGAGACCACATAATCTTAAATTTGCACTCAGTCGTAATCTTAATATTTCATTCTTTACTCGCATTTCATGCAAATAAAGATTTATTTATCATTGGATGTAAGTCCAACACTTTCTTCATGGACGTATGAAGCACATTTGATGCAAAGTCTCATGTCGGCGACTTCATCTTTATCACAAACAAAACAATACCAACTTTATTGGGTACGAGACGCCAGCTCCTTTTCTTTCTGGTTATTAAGAAGTGGTTTTCTTTCTAACTTGGATTTACTTTTCTTTTTCTCTGTAAGATATCGTCGATGTGTTCGTCTGGGAACTTTAGTGTTTGGCAGCAGATAAAACCTTCATTTCACCACTTTTAACGACTGCTATTACTGATTTCATATCAGATTCTGACTAATTTCCTATGATCTGTTTCGTATGTATGTATCAAGGAGCATTCTGCAAGGAAAAAAAGAAATAAATAAAATTGAGAAAAACAACAAAGCAGTAGATGCCGAAAATATGGCCACTAAGTGGTCATATTTTCAGTCGTACCCGATATTTTACTTAAAAGATAAAAACTAAAAATATACAAAAGTAAGCTTGAGAATGAACATATACACATGAAGTATAATACTATACTAGAATACTAATGACAAAAATAGATTAAATGCTCTTAAGTAAAAGTCAACAAAAACAAAGAAAATCATCGAAACTTACGAGTGAATATTTGTATCCGTAACACATGGTTTCACTTCGACTGCCATTGCGGGGCTAACGGGGCTGCAGGGAAGATGGCAGCGACGCCTGAGCATACTCATACATAGACGTTTTAACGTATATAAATAAAGTTGTAAATGGCGCCATAGTTTTGGTCCTGTAGGGGTATGGCCATATTTTCAGGCTGGCCATATTCGACCCAGGTACCTTATTATTTGGATGTGATGAACTTGACCCTTTTTGGCCTGTACTATGGGTTCAATTACATTTATGAACTTGAATTTTTGACTAGACGCTGAAGACAACCAGTAGTAGGTAAGTACTTGGTTTTTTAATAGGAATTAAAAAACCAAGTACCTACCTACTACCTTTTATATTATAGAAGGCATGTTACAAAAAGGATTTTGTAACATGCCTTCTATAATATAAAAGGCATGAACACTACAAAAATACACTAATCAGATGATTTTGTGGTTCTCGCCAAATGTGGTGTTCTAAAGTAAAAATCATTTATTTTGCCGCATGTCAACAATTTTAAATATTCAATATATTGTACAAACACAGGAGCCTATGACCTTTATGTAAATTATATCATTGATATTACTCAGGTGTAAAATAAACACTACCAAATGCCAACCCTAATAAACACTTAAGGAATATAGTTAATAGTCAAGGATACTTTTGTTTATAGAAATAGTGATCTCACAGTTCCATAAATAATATGATAATGAAGCTCTATATCTACAATAATTCCTTTTTACTCCTCCTTTAACAATCATACTCATAAATAAATACATAAATGTTTGTACCGAAGAATTGAGCCCGCGACCATTGAAAGTAAGGCGGTTATTATTATTATTGATTTAGATATATTAATGATGAATATCATTATCGATATGTTGACCATATATCAATAATTTTGAGATTATAATCATTTTCCTACAGTCTACTCTAATAATTGGTAATGACAGTGACGCCAAATATGTTTGGTCGATTCTTTCGTTTTTAGATTGCATGGGCCCATTAGCTATAAGGTCTATGAATGTAGTTATATAACTACTCACTGCAAATTACAAGATTAAAGTAAACTAGGCAGGTATACCTGTTATTTTGATTTGCCTCAATAAAATAAGTAGTAACACAATTAGTTCATTAAATGTAATTAAAAGTTTACAAAATCAAACTCTCTCTCTAATTTCAAAGATAAAATTAACGTTTCTTCTGTCGTATTCCAATTTGCTTTGGATGCATCGGGGTTTATAGAATGGGGTAGTGGCAATCGTAATGTATATCGTGAAGAATTAATGGATATGCTGCTTGTGTCCACAGATAAATCGACATTCTCCTTTTTGTCCCCCGGCATTTTGATTTTCACTATGAGATTTTCACAACTAGCTGACGATGGAGTCTTTGGGCCAATCTGTAAATTAATTATATTCAAAATTACTATGTACCCACATATGTGTGGTGCCCGCGACTTCAAACACCAAAAAAATAGAAATATCTATCTATATAACGCCTGTGTTGACGCAATTAATTAATAAATGAAATTTTCTGTAAATTTTCACTAAATTTTTATCGTAATTCCTCCAATCCAATTAACACAGTTATTCTCTTAAAATGTATAACATCACTGAACACTAAAGAATGTGTGGGGTTCAATTGTAAAGAAATATTTTTTATGTAAACTGCCTTTTTTCTAAAGCACCTAGTTATGTTACAAAATGTTATAAAAGTACCCAATACACTTTATACAAATCAATAAAATTTGTGTAATTACTCCTAGACTTCTGTCCTAACTGGTAAAGGCATCAATATATAATAATAGCTATCCACCAAAAATTTCGATTATTCTAAAATCTACACTTACGATATTAACTACCTATCTACAAGGAAATATAAGAAATTATTTATTTTACCTGTTCAAACTTAACTTCGATTTGCGAGTTTATAGTAATTTCCATTTTTTACAGACAGAAACATAGAACATTTCAACATTAGCATGATACGCAATAAAACTGGTTTACTATTATTTATCTATTTTTTGTTAATTTATCTTATACCTAGTGTCAATTTGTTTGTTACCTATTGACTATAAGTTTAAAAAAGTACTTTATAACTTAGACTTTTTATGTACCTATCTGGAATGGTGAACAACTTGACAGCCATCTGATGGTAAGCGGCAACCTTCACTTACATACCTACGTGAACTGCACTCACAAACTTCACGTTATCATGCGATGCCTGTAGTGCCTACTCTTTTGCATTGCTATTTCGGAGGACTAAACCATAACGCCTCAGTACTCTCACCATCCAACAGAAACTGCTTCTTTTGTAAGGTACTTAGGAGCTGTAATACGTAAGACAGGAGTACCAAGCGACGCAGACGATTTTACTTAAAGTCTACTATTGATATGTCCAGTTTTATAAAACCCTATAGTTCGGTAGGTAATCATCGTTCACTCAGAAATAGATAAGAAATAAAAAACTTATAATAATTATGAGAACCTGGAGGAAGACGTCTTCGGCCGTAACTGACTGCTGATAATTCATGGTGTATTCGGGAACTTTACGATCACCGAGACCACCTCCCACTTGTTCTAACTCATTGGCTTCTCTCGCCTCCTGCTCTTCGAATTCTTCTATCGTTTTCGGGACATCCTTCACACTGTTTTCAGGAGGAGGTACTTGGTCTCTTGACGAAGTTATTTCGTAACCTTTTGCATTCACCATTGAAATTTTTTAAATGAAAATTTCTTAAATGTTATAACTTCAATTAATTAAAGGAATCCTACTCATACAGCGCTATCTAGTAGATACTATTGGTATTACAGGATTAACAGCCATATTTAAATATTTTTTGTATAGGTACATAGATAGGTAAAAAACATAGAAAACTTTCAAACCATAGCAAACAAGTATATCTACTCTTGTACCTATATATGTATATTTGTTTGACAAATGGATTGAACCCGACCACTATTTGAGACACTGCGATAATCCGCTAGATCAAGGCCGTCATTGAATAAATTGATTACATACATTGATTGTTCGTATGATGTATCTACATTCATTAGAGTAGCTACATAACAACTTATGAACTATGTGAATGACATAATAATTGATGTGAAATCAAATTGTTTAGCATCTAACTATAGCGTGTAATACAACAAGACAAACTAATGAAACCAAGTAGATAGGTACTTTATTTTTTAAACAATATTCATCCAGTAACCAGAGTGGCAAATTTCTGATGGATCATCACCAGAAATGATGGTCGATAGAAAGTAGTATCCATCGCTTATATACATGAAATGTACTGGAGTGTTTTTTAAAGCTTGTTGTAGAATATAATCAATCCTCAATGGCAATATTGCCGATGTGACTTAAAAAAACACTCTTCTTGGCGATAGAAATAGGTGACACAGAAGTATAACCACGCAGACGCTTTCTTTACAAACTCTTAGTCTCCCTCGGTAAAAGATTACATTAAATTTATTATACAAAATTAATATACCACTAGGAGTAAGGTCATCTCCCTGTAATACTTCAGGTTCCGGTGGTCTTAAAAGTTCAACCAACTTTTCCATCTGAATAGGCGTGAACTCTACCATTTTTTAAGCAGCTTACTATCTGATTACTCGTACTTAACACAAAACGTACAACAAAGCAGTCAAATAAATCTAAGACGAGAGATTTATTTATTTACTAATTTAATTAAATAATTATGCTTGAATATGCGATTGACAAATCAAAGCCGTAGTAACAGTTACTGTGGTAACCAAAGTGCTTCAGAAATAATCTACGAATCCGTCAGAACAATGACAGTTGATATGGTTTTCAGAATTAACCATTGGCTCTTCTCTTTTACATGGCTATAAAGAACAGTCGGCGGTGCAAATATGAAACACATACATATAATATTTTAGATGTTTTATTGATAAGTATCTATTCATAACTGTGAGGGGAAGTTACCTCCGAACTTTTCACGTTAACAGAGTAACTATAGTGGTGTTCAAGTAAATAACGTAGAATAAGATAAACAAAATATATTTCTAATCAAAATAAAATAATATAAAAACACATATACAGATAGATACATCAATACGACGACAGACAAGATGACAAAACACACTCTCTTTTCAAATATTCAAATATACTTCATCTGCCATACCAGCCAGTCTAGACATCGATTGCAAACCTCGTTCTAACAATAACTATGAAAATGCAAACTACAAGATTTTCATGTACGCCTGCGACACATTCGATAATCATGTCCAGAGCCATATGCTCATACGGCTCTCTACCTACATGAATTCGACTCGTAATTCACTTTTGTTATTTTCACAGAAAAATGAAGTAGGTCTGATCATTGTTGTAATCTTTCTTTTTGTTAAGTTATATTAAAGTTAATGAAAAGAAGTAAGTTTCGGCGGGGTATTTTTCGGAGAGTAGTGGTAATCCCAAACCCCCCACCCTAATTTTAATGTTACACACATTTTTTAAATGGGTGATAATGACATGGTATACCCAGCAGCGTGGCACCAACCGGTGGAGTATAAGTTGTACCTATGAAGTCAGTCATAGTCAGCAAGAACGCCTGCAAAGCGGTCACTGGTACCCATTACGAACCATCCCTTTCCCCCTATTTTTCAGACAATAGTAGCATATATGTGTTATCAACTGTATACAATAATGTACTCAAGAGGAAGGGTAAGGATGATAGTAATGGGCCCAGTGGCCCCGTTATGGACAGTAACAATTGAACATCATTAACAACAGTAACAAGCATTAACTGTTATTGTGTCTATTGCCTTGATGACATTAACCTTAACCATAGATATTGACAGGCCACTACTATTTGCTCCAATGTTAAAAAAGATATTTATTGATATCAAAATAAAAACCATGTGTAATGGTTTTTATGTAAGAATTTTTTACACATCTAAGAACATATTAATTTCTAATTAAAATTTCGTGACAGCATTACATTGTATGTTAAAAATACTGTAGAATTACCCAAAATATATGCTATCCAATTGTCTATTAATATTCGTATATGTATATTGTCACCAATACAAAGAATCAATGTTTGCTACTCAGGAGTGTATTTATTTTATGGAAATAGTAAAATCCTATAGTATACTATATTGACATTACATTAGATCACTAACTGTTGTTGAAATCTAGACAAGTTAGTGTTCGCTGGGTCGTTGCATTGCATATTTATTCATCTGGTGCAACAGGTCGCTCCATATCTAATATAGTTTTGCATATATAATAATATATGTATACATGGATACATATATTATGCGTACATGTATACATATATGTATGCACATTTCATTCTGTTGCCTACTATGTGAGTTCTCTAATTTTTCAATTAATTAACAACTATGTATTTCCAAATGTTAAAAGGATTTCAAATGAAACAAGACAATTAGCATTCAAATAAGTGCATAGGTATATTGATTCATTAGTATTCAATCTTTAAACCCTATAGTAATTAAATTCTATTAAAATATAAATATCATATTTAAGGAAAACCATCATCATCCTCTTCAGCCATTTCTTTTGCCAATTCTAGATCTTGTTGTTCTCTTTCACGGCGTTCTTCAGCACTCTCTAACTCTTTTCCATATGACTTTGGTGGATACCTCATAGCTTTGACACTCTGGTTATGAAGGTCCAGGCAAAATGATATACGCTGATGGAAAGCCAGCTGTGGCTCCCGAGTACAATAAATATCAGAACTTTCCTTGTTGCTCATGTATCCCTTCTCTGGATCAAGTGTTGCCTCAATTACACCATCTCTTATAGCTTTAGCCACAATAAATTCAGCATCCTCAGCAGAATCTAAACCCAGTTTTCTAGCTATGTCCTTTGGTGAGATACGAGAGTATGACAATCCTATAGAACGGATTGCTGTCTTGATAACATTCTGTCTGAGGCGGAGAATTAAAGTAAAAGTATGATCAGTTCGGAACTGTGGACCATAATTCTCTAAAACTTCACCAAATCTCTGCAAATTTCCAAGACGTACAGCTTGAGTGAGTTGGAAATAAGGAGCCAAAGATCTTCGCAAAGGTGCCTGACGAAATATAGCTCGCTCAGGGATGTCTCCCAAGAGTAACTCCACAACAATAGCTAGTTTCTGTACAGTTTGACGGAAGCCAACTGCTGCTGTTTGGGGAGCCTTCCTAAGAGCTTGCACTAAATGCTTGTGAGCATCACTATACTCTAGTCGAGCTGCTTTAATTCTGCCCAAGTAATACAAGAATCGTGCCCATTCATTATTGCTTGCATTTTCAGGGAAAACAGACTTGCTCACCAATTTATCTGCCTGATCATACAATGAATAATGTAAATAGTTACGTAACAGACAATTGATAAGAACAGCTTGTCCTTCATAGTCATTGCGAAGTGTTGATGTACGTAGACGAGCATGTAGTAATCCTCTTATAAGATCCAGCTTGTTAGTCAATTCAAACACTCGAGAATGATAGAAGTAACATTTAGCAGCAATCAAATCTAGAGTTCTTCTATTTTGTGCAGTGACTTTGTTCATTAGCTGTTGAGAACATTCAGTAGCCTCTTCTAATCTGTTTGTATCCAACAAGCGTAGTAATACTAAAAGATGCAAGTACACATCAACTTCGGGACCAGGTGTTTTTGGTGCACTTCTGGATCGAGGATTTTCTATTTCGACAGCGCCAGGCAGTGGATTTTCAACAAGGGCAAGTATTGTCTCTTTTTCAGGGCTTGATGGATAAAGTTGATTAATTATTGCTCGGAGAACATTTCCATTCAACTTCCTGCGGGTATTAGGAAGAGATCTCAACACTCTCATGGCAAATCTTGGTTCCTTTGATGTTACAGCTTTATCGATTTGTCTTACATGCTCCCTTAAATCTTGAACACTCATCACGTCAGCATCCTTCTTCACCTCGGCTGGTTCAACGTCGCTACTAGCAGCAGGACTCTCTACATTTTTCATTTCTACATCTTGATCCACCGGTGCCATTTTATGGACAATTATTTAATAGGTATAGTATATGTGAATTAAAGTAATTGAAAGCAAATAATGAAATCAAAATACAAAGACTAGTAGGAATAGCGAAATGTCAAAAAAATGTCGAGTAACGAACGAACAACGGAATGATCATGGTAGGTATCAGTGTTGCCAGAAGTCAATAACTGATCACAATAACTGTATTCATTCATTCATTTTGCACTTTCGGCTTCAAAGGCCTCTGCACTCTGCAGTCTAATCTAACATAGCTAGTATTTAACGCAATACTTCCTGATGGTCATGAATGCGATTCTTCATGAAACATTTGTTTTTGGGTGTTTTCTATGTATATTGTATAAGAATTTACAAAAAAAAAGCTTTTACTAGTTGTCATAACACAAGCTCTGTTTAGATTGGGACTAAATAGTGCTGTCTAATTTGTTCTGGGTTATTATTGTTATTATTCTGTTTATCACTTAGAGTTACCAGTTAATTTAGTAGCACCTCTAGTCCAGTGCCAATAATGAACTCATATTAATAGATCGAAGAGGTACAATTATTAAAGTATGTATCAAAAAGAATAATTTTAGTTATAACTAAAATAATTCTTTCTGGTAAATCTGTCGTGAGAATAGTGGCTATTTGCAGGGTAATGCTACCACAAACTATATAGAGATGATACTATTTACTTCACCTTAATTAAAATATAAACTAGTCCGGTCAAATTGGTTCCTAAGGAAGTATTACACGAGTTCAAATATTTTTTTTAATAGTCTTCAATAAAATAACTTGAATTATTTTGCATAAAAGTTAACTTATCAGTAATCTATATAACAATATCATTCTTGTGAATGTCTGTAAATTTTACCGTCAAATGTTCCTACCATTACAATTTAATTCTAATAAGGGCAAACGTGCAAAAGGGACGGAATGAAATATCGTAAAGTTTCATAGCAGGAGCCATTTCGTAATATGTAGACACAATCAACATTATGGTTTATCGCTAAGGCATAAAGTTAAAATTTCTTCATGATGTGTTAGCCAATTGAATAGTATATAAATTAATTTATCTGAGCTTTGTCTGTTGTGTTGTTTCTTTTTCCTTGAATTCTCTATTTCATAGATTATAGAGCATAAACGAGACAAAACTACTAGCATTGCCTGTAGTTGCTTAACCAATATATTTTACTTGAGAAATACTGATAAAAAACATAAAATCACTAATGTTACAACTGAATATTATTGGATTACAACCACCATATTATCACAAAAAACGTGTGTGCCAAACATCATAAACAACGGAGGCGCTACGGCTGCAGGGGACCGGTTGATTCTTTACACAAAATTTCAATGTGTTCTGGAAATGGTTTGCAAAGAGGACGTGGTATCATGGTTTAAAGAATTGGAAAGCTATAAACGCATAGATGCAATGTGTACATTATTAAACATGTGCTTACCATTCGAATTACGCTTCATTGGGACGTATCTAGAGGAGCTCGGAAAGCGGGACTTTCAGGAGTTGCGTGGTGCCGAACTAAGAGCTAACAACCCCACAGACCTGGCAGCAGACATCGGAGGAGCTAACACAGACCCCAGGACGCGACGGAAAATGGCCTTATATGTTTCATTGTTAAGGTCGTGTAATTTCGCCTGTGCAACTACTTTGTATAATGCTATGGTCAGCTTGGAGCAGACTGGCCTTTTAAAGGGTTTATATGGTGAACTTTTGGAAGAAATCCTATTGTTGTACACTATGGCATTACATCATCCAGCTTTCACATTTGATCAAAAATCTCATTTTGGTGAAATATTAGAGAAATTGAAACTCGAAGATCAGAGGATACAGTTCCAAGAGCAACCAGAACATATAAATGTAGCACCTGTGAGTGTATGCCATACCCAATCTAGTGTCACACCCAATATGTCTGTTCCACCACCTAATTTGTCTAGCTTGGGGCCTCCTGGGATCATGTTTGTTAAAACACCTGGGGTGCAGGTCAGTGTCATGTTCATTATTTTCATATTGCATTACATTATGTGTATTTTGGTGCTATTGGGCTTTGTAGTTTTTACACACTTATATCCCATCTTAACTTATATTAACTGTACACAAAACTGAATATTTTCATATTCTAACTAAAGCTAGTAATATTACATTTGCATCAACATGGCTACATGTGAATAGATGAAATTATCGAAATATGATTCTATAGTAACTGTTACAGTTACAAACACAATGTTTTATTACCATTTGTTCTTAATAAGACGTAATATAATTAACAGTAGTTAATATTAATTATTTTCATAATTACAAACAAATTTATTAATAGTAATATCTAAAATCTATTATGTATTAATCAACATACTACATTAATTTTATATACTCATAATATGTATGTATGATTACTATTATTAAAATTTTAATATTGATAGTCCTTAAAGGACCTTGGAAATTAAATGATGGTTATAAAGAATATATCTTCTGAATTACTTAAGTGATGATTCTTACATTCTTTTATTAATGAATATTATTATATACCATGAATCACTAAAATATAACTTTGAAACAAAAAAAAACAATTAATTTCTACAATGCTGAATTCTTAAATGATATGTCTTCGTGTATTAAGATATATGTATATCCTATATTTGTATTTCATATGAAAGATATTAAATTAAAAATAACTCCCTTAATAATCCATATAATTCTTTAGGTATACTGACATTAAGAATGTGTCATCACTGATTATGACTCCAGTATATTGTAAGTTGAAAGTATTTATGAATGTCATGTAAAGGTAGAAGACCTAAATAAATTAATGAGAAGATATCCTTAAAAAGATAATGATGACTGTCAAAATGGATGAATGAAAGAAAAAGCATATTACAACTTAAATTGATATTTAGGGATATGAACCGGAAGATGAGGGTGGTGCAGATGATGTCTACTGAATAAGAATAATAAAGTTTATTTCTTAGTTAGTAGGTAGCACAATTATCATTACTGTCTTGTTTTTTATCATTTGAAGCGGTATTGATATCTTATAATAATAGTGTGTGTGAACAAAGATTATATCAAATTCCTTTTTCTAGAATTTGTTACTTGGTTTTTGGGAGAGAGTATACTTAATTAAGAATATATTGATTTTAAACAGGTTCTTTATTTTCACTAATATTGCAACTGATAATTTGTAACTTTAAAATTTGTTGACACCAACCTAATATATTACTTATAAAATTTTTACTTTTTCTATTGCAGAACTAAAAATTTACAATTCCTATTTTTAATAATTAACAAAATGTTTGGGGAGAATAAAATTCTTTACTCCTAAAAGAATGTAAAATGCATATAATTTATCTGCAAATTAATTGATAAACATTGACTATCTTAATTAACTTTTAGTAAATTTTTTGTGGAACAGTATTGAACAAGTTACATTTTAAATTGTAAAATATTTATATTCAGACCTGCTATATTTGTTTAATAATAATAAAACAAATACAAGTATTTTAAATATATCATAATAAAACCTCAGGTGCTCATTGTATAATTAAGTTCTCATGTTTATACTTCAAATAAGTTACAACCAATCAAACACACCAAGTTGATAAGAATATACAAATAATTGACTTGTTGCATCTTATTTAGCCTAGTTACTTTATATATTGTATATCAATGTTAGACAACAGTTTATTGTTGTGTAGTGATTTATTTATTTCCTTCACTGGTATTTCTTATCTTATTATTTTTTAATGTCAAAAAAGCTATCACACAACTTATGATGTATCTGATATCAGCAATTAATTTTATTATATGGATGTAACTGTCACCAAGTTGATAAGTGATTACTGTATTGTACCCTTACTAGTATATATAATATATAATAGAAAATTTGTTTCTTGTCACCTTCAGATCTTACAATGCAGATGATATAAGAAATATGCGATGTTATACCATAACCATAAATTTTATCAATTGCAGATTGCCATTCATAAAACTCTTTAAAAACAATCAACTTGAGAACAAGGTCTGAAATTATGGCTATAGGATAATTTATTTTAGTGATGTCTCTAACCACCATGATTATGCAAACATTAACAAAATTTATTTATTAAGGGAAACCCTTTATAAAACTATATATTTATTTGCTTCTCTTTGCAATGAAACTCTAAAAGGACAATTTGGGTATGCAACCTCCATAGGCTCCCAAGTGTATAAATGGAACAGGAGAATTGGGGATCATAGTGTAATGTTGGGGAAGGGACTTGGAGGGGACTTACCTTTAATTGTATCTCTACAGAGTTAAGCTTGGATTTGCTTGCAGAAACTCTCACAGAGTTAAGCTTGTCTCTATTACATCTTTTCTTCTGCTTTGTATATAAATGTTATTTGTGTTTGGAGCAAAATATGGTAAATAAATTAATATTGTTACAGCCCAGTACCGATGCAGTGCCTGAACTCAACTCTCCCCCAGTGTTAACTAATACAGGAGGTGTAATGCCTATACTAGGGGAGGTAACTCACCCTCCACCAGGGATTCCCATTCCTCAGTACAATATGGGTGAATTTATGGGACAACATGCATGGCCTGGAAACATTATTGTTCCACAACCATTAGAGGTATTTTATTTTTATTTGGTAAATAAATTTTGTTTAGTTTCAACTATAATGGCAATAGCTATTATATTAGAACCCAGTTTCTCACTGGTGAATATATTGTAGGGATCTCTTGTTTCAAAATATATTATAGCTACCAGTAATATTGTTTTCTATGTTGATGAATTTTTAAAATCGGTTTAGACATACATTGCCAAGTATCAATTGATTTGGTTTTAGTATGTGTTAATATGGTTTAATACGTTCATATAAATAATTATTGTATGAACACATGTAAATTAGGATAACAACTAGTACATATTTATTGTGGCATAATATGGTGTACTTGTTTCTTTCAGGTTTTAAATTATGCACCAAGTGCGGGCCCAGGTGGTGGCGGTGGCGCCCCATCGTCGCCACTAGTGTCGTCGCCGGGCGACAGTCGCACCGCGTCGCCGCGATCGCGTCGCCGCATGTCGCGCGACCGCTCGCCGCCGCCGCCCGCGGTCATGGCCGACCAACCTCTAGCTGTACACCTTGCTGTTAACTTTGAGAATCTAGCTCTTGCCGAGGTGAGTTACTCAGCTCGAGATGTGATATAGATGTCGTCAGACTATGTAGGTATTAATTGAAATCTGAGTGTAATACTCAGTTATATGTCTAACCATAAAGAAGTGTAAGGCATAACGAATCGTGGTTTCGTTATGCTTTAGAGCGTTTGAGTGTATATAAACAATTTAAATTCACTGATGTCACACCACACATATATGAATGACGTCGTTCTAATTCTAACGAAGTTAACAAGTAACGTTTTTCTTATATCAAATGTATATGTGTGTAAGGTATATATGATGGCTAATTAATGGTTGTGCTATTTCAGCAGATGGAAGGTGTCGATCGATTACAGAGACGGCACAATATCGGGGACGAGAGGCTACGCGAACTCAGCATTGTGCATCAGTACCGCTCGCTAGAGAAACTAAATGGCGTTCGGAAACGAACCGGCGCGTACTACCCGGGCACGCGGTCGTCGTCCGACAGCGGCTCCAGCGCAGCGTCATCGCCGCCCGGCACACCGGCGCCGTCGCAGCGTCGCACGACGCCGTCTGCGCCGCCTCACTTGCCGTTCGTACCGTACCCCCGACATTATGCCTACCCTGCCCCGCCGCCTGCCTTCCGCCCGCCGCCGCCGCCTTTCGCAAACGGCGAGCCTCCACCGTTCGCCGCGCCGACTCCGTACCCGGGCTTCGTGCCCGTGCTGTATGCGCCGCCGAAGGTGTCGTGCTGGAATTGCGGCGCGGCGGGCCACGCCGGTCACGAATGTAAGGAGCCGAGCATGGAGGAGATGACGCGCGCCGGCGGCTACCAGCTAGACTTCGGCGGCGCGCCGCCCGAACCGGCCGAGAAGTAGGGCCCGGCGGTCCGCTGCGCCGTGTCGCCGCCGGCCGGGCGGCCGCAGGCGCTAGTGGTCCCGCTTCGACCCTAAATCGCCGCCGGACCGGGAGATGACCCTTCCGGGATCCCGTAGAGGTGAGGCGTTCCTTTGTACGAGACTCTGTGACGTCCTCGTGCGATCTGTCCATTAGTACCAAAGTGTCGGCTCTAAACATGTAAATATTGACCTGAGTCAGCCCGTACGCATGAGATTGGTACCCGCGATGTAGAACTTCGTAAATCGGATATTCCATAGGCAATTTATATTATGCTTATTGGGGTAACATAGAGAGCAGTGAATGTTGATCTATTTATGTTTAAGAATAATTGCACTTTCAGTCTTTTGATTACATTACAATTTTCACTTGAACTTATATTGAGTATTGTGTTTAAAAATTGAACATTTAAGATTAGGCACTCAAAATAAATAAAAATGCATTTTGACAAATAAATTGTATGTAAGACGATGACAATGACTGAATGTTGTATAAAGTTTAATTAGTACCACATGATTATAGAGTATTTTTTTTTTCTATTGTTCTATCATGTTTAGGCGCACACAGTAGCCTTTTAGATTGAACTCCAGAAATTGAAAGTGCAATAATCTTTTGAATGACCAATGCGGCTGCTAGCTGTTTTGTAGAATTTGGAGGGAATTCCATTTTTTTTGACAATGACGGCAGCAGGTGTTAGTTAATAATAGATAGATATTCAAATAATAGAGTATCAAAAATGTTATATAAAACTCGCATTTAGCACAGGCAAACTACAGAAATGCAAAAACAAAGTTTACATACCTGTATAACATTTCATTGTTAATGTAGCTTTGTGAAAGCAAACATATTTGTCAAAATTTTAAAGCAGCATTTTTGTAGCATCCAAGTACAAACTATAAATAATTTGTAGACATATATAAAAAGTGTGACAATGATTTGATGTATAAATTACTTTTTGCCAGTTTTTAAGAATTTAATTAAAATGTGTATTGGGTTTACATTATTAGTGAGTGTGCCATAATGGATAAATAATACATTGATGTAAATTATTGTAATAATAAATCAATGTAGTTAAAGATATAGATAACCAGTGATTTCTATTTGGTATGATGTTATACCTTAATATTTCCCTAATAAATTTAACTAGAGGATCCAATATTAATCAGTATTTATACTATACCTAGCATCAATCTCGTTTAATAAATTCTTAGTACAGTCCATTAGTACAAGTTAAATATAATTAATTAGAAGTCTGTGCGTGATAAGATTAGTGACATTTAAATAACATTATAGTGATCTTACGTTAAAAATTGAAATCATAATAATGTAACCTTATGATTAGTATAAAATGTTTGTTATATTACATAGAAATACAAATATTTTCAAAGTATCTGCTGCTGTATAATTCGGTCGGGTGTTTGATTTTCATTGAAATGATTCATTGCTACTTTTTTGAGGCAATAAAGATGATAGGGATACTCATGGAATTCCCTAAAATTCTCTTATACCAATTCGTTTTTATGTGTATCTCAATAAAAAATGCCTTGAAAGCAATGTAACTTCTAAACTTTTTGACATACTATTAAAGTGTCAACATGACGAATTTTATAGACAAATCTAATATTATTTCCTTTGACCAAGACTGATTTCTAAATATAGCTTATGAATTGGCTCCAGGAATTTGTACCCCTCTGTAATACCGGTTCTCACTGGAGCGTGAACAGATAGGACTGTTTCTTCAATGGTTATGAAGGGATTTTATTATGAACTGTGACAAAAACAAATATAAATGATCGCATACTTATTTTGTATGTGTACAGCGCGAAATCGTATAATTTGAACAAGGGATTAAATTGATCAAGCTCATGAAGATACAATGCTCTTTAAATTAATGTTTATAATAGTCATTGTAAATAATTACAAATATGTAAGAGAGTTGGCCACATCAATTCTGATGTGTTCATATTTTGTAAATAATTCAGTTTATATATTTAGCTAATATTTAGAGATTGACTATATTTGTAAATTACTTTGTAATAACTCGAGTGTCCCTATAGTAATAATATTTGTTTCTCTATGATCACTGTCACAAATCACAATTTTGCATTTTTCAATGTCCCATTTTTTTGAGAAAAGTTCAAATTAGAAGGGTTGTATAAAATTGTTTTTGAATAATTATAAAAATAAGTTTTTTTATCATGTCAGATGCGTCACGCGCATAGGTGGGCGTCGGCTGTAGTCGCTGTGGCCGAGATTGTAGTATGCTGTTTTGTTTGTTAATATTTGTTGGTTTAGGTACAGAATGCCTTACTGTCAAAATGGCATTTTATTATCTGTCCATCAAAGACTTGTCGCCATTTTTGAAATGGGTGTTTTGTATTGGAACCTATTCGTTGAGTAGTATTTACAGCTTCCCATTGGATATGTATTCTCTTTATGATATAAAATTATTATCATAGAGACTCTGAGGACACCTTGTGTGAGAGTGTTTATATCTTTCTATAATTTTATTGACATACATAATAATTCTAGAATATTAATTATTAATTACAATCGACATATCAATTAATGACACTTAGTTTATCTTTTTTCATGTTTTGAGATGAAGAGAATTCATGTCCTTCACCGAAGCTCTAGAGATTCCGTTAAATACAATCTTTATGTATGGGACTGTTGTAAGTTACGTGAATAATCATCACTCCTTATGAAGGTTGTATGTCATCTTAACGTAATTATTGTGTTATTTATATCTTAACAATTTTATTACATTTAAAGCAAGTTGAAGTTTAGATTAAACATAGAATGAATAACTTAATTATCGTATCTACCTATAAGTATGTCTAACGTAGACCCGCTGTGGTATCTACCGATCCTTGTTAAGAGAACTATAATTGCATTACAACTGCATATCATTTTAATATTTTTAATGGAGTGTGATATGAGGCGGAGTTCACTTACCAAACTACCATAATTGTGTGCGCAATACTAGATAATATATTAGATACTTGTACATTTTTGCTAAATGAAAAAAATGTACCACCTGTAACGTATATGTACTCAGTGAATACACGCTACTGATTGTGAAAGTTATGGTTGCAAATTTAAAGCAGCTTTATTTTTTACTAGCGGAAGTATGGAAATATTTTTTTACTTTGTACAGAATGTTATGAATGTGATAAATAATTTTTTGACATAATTAGAAATTGTGATTTAGTAAGGTGTGTAGTTTATTATAAAAGTATAAAATGAAAACTCGCTTTACTAAATAAATTATACTATACTATGGCTATATCTATAAAATTGTTTTCCCACGTTTTTATATTTGGGTACTTATGTATTCTAAGCTGTTGTACTACTAATAACATGAACATTTCAGGAAAATGAATGTTTCGGCCCAGTATTGTAAGACCTCTGTATCCCACCAATGCTGTGAATCATTTGCTTCCTGAGAAATAAACAACCAAAACTACAATTTCTTCATTTTATTATGTATTCCTACAGCAGTAATTTTATAAGTTTTTACATTTTTTGTACGATTGTGCTAACCGTATACGTTGACGAGGTCTTATGGAAGACGGTTGGATTAAGATGAAGTCGACTGTGTTTAATTTAGAAGAATTAATCACAATTATTACCAGGAGAGGTTAACATAACATGGTATATTTCTAGCAATGGGATCAATGGTGGCCATTAGTAAACCTACCCACAGTCAATAGGTACTTAGTATTTATTAAATATTAATATTTAAAAAAAAATGTGGCAATAGTTTTGGTTTATGGCATAATGGAACATTTAAACTGGTTTGTAGCTAATCATGTACTAACGTTTGCTGTCGTTTGGAGAAAGTTAGGGCTTATGCGTTATATGAAGTAGAACCTGTTAAATCAAACACAAACTAGAACTACTATACAGTCAATAATAAGCTATTTGTCAAAATTTGGCGCAATCTCCCCAAAATATAATTAATAACAGGATTTTTAAAAAAATCCTACTACTATAATAATATATGGCGTCATCATTTTTCGATAGATTGTCCTTGTTTTTAGCTTGCCAATTTAGTTTTTTGTTTTTTACGTTCTATTATTCTATGACGAAGTAAACCCATCTGCTTTTCGACTCTCTCCAGCTTGTATCAGTATATAATTCTTATGTAGATACGGCTTTTTGTCACCTAAATGGATCTGGATGAAATTATGTGTATTTAAAAAGGTTTGAAAATTCAATCGCACCCAGTAGGTGGCGCTGCTTTACTGAGTATGATGTCTAGCCAGTCGGCTAGTTTTATATATTCTACTAAAATTTTTAAGAGCTTCCTCTTACGAAGTTGCGGTGATTTGCCAATATCACTATTATAGTAATAAAATAAACCTTCGGTAATAATGACAAGAATTATATCTATCGTTGACCTATGGCTATTCGTTCAACGCAATTACACCGAAAGGAATCATATCTCTTATATAGGTACTTAATTATTTACAGATATACCTACATACTTAACCTATTATTTTTGATATTATTTAAACTTATGTGTTATATATCTACGTACTACGAAAATTAATAACAAAATGTAAAAGAAACTTATTTTTACATTGTTTAATAATAACTATAATATCACTGGACAATTCACACGCTCATAGGAACGGACAGCGACAGTGACATTGTTTTATACTATGTAATGATTATTTTATTAATTTATTTTTTCTTCATTTAGTTCTTTATTCGTTAATGTTTTCTTCAGTTAGTAATATATTTGTTATCTAATACCGAGTTAAGCAGATTAGGATTAATGTTCAAATGAAACAATTATAAGAAAGTACCCAATTACAAAGATAAAAATCTTCGCATCTCATGTAATGAACGATTATAAAGAGATGTATGATCTCTACAGATCCTCAACCCTGTAACCTGAGACAACGTTTATTACACTTCTCTAAAAGTTAGAAGATAACTATTGACTGGTTGAAATCGAAAATATAATGATTGCAGAAGATATAAGTGTTAAAATAAACCATTATAGGTATTAGGTATAACTTTTGGAGAAGAACAATAAACGATAGATCTATTAAGCTGCAGGGTAAAGTTGTAGGTAATATTCTTTATGCTCTGTCATTACTGAGATGTCATGTGATATTTTTTTTAAATTAAATATCTTTATAATTCTAGATTTTACAAGAAAATTGCACACGTTTAAGTACAGAGAAATTAAAACGATCTTATGTTATTGATTGGATATGGGTAATTAAAAAAAAGAACTTATCTTTAAGTAAAATGTTTGTATCTATATACCTAAATGAAGTACATGTTGCGCTTCATTTATAAGTAGATATATAGGAATTTTACATAAAAAAGCGTGACTTCACACAAAATATGAAGATTAAACTTGTCTAAGTAGCTATATTATTCACATAAATAGATTCCTACATCGGAAAGTATAGATTCTAACGACTATTATTATTAGCGGTTTCAACTATCCACGAACACGATGGTATGAAACCCTTGTAGTTACTGAAACATTATTCGCTACGTTATGTAGATACTCGTAGGTTCAATTATTTTAATTTCTACTTAAACAATATTTATGTAGGTAGTAGTACCTGCCCTATTTTAAGGAAAATCAGAACGAAAACCTTCAACAGCGGTACGAGGTACCTACTTTCTTCTAAATTGGATAAGTAGGTATTATTTTATTTTGTGAATATAACATCGGGCTCTGCTTAGTTTCCCAGGCCCGACGAGAAACCGGGGCAAATGAGTCCACAGTTCTCACCACTGAGAAAGAAATGAAATGAAATTATATATTGCTACGAATGTGGTAATTATACAAATGTAGTCCTGACATTCAGTCTATTCTAGTCTAGTCAGCAATCCAAAAACTTTCTTTTTATAATTTCATACAGACATTTATGGATTTATGCATGGGTAACTGTTACTGTTGTACAAACGTAATCTCATTTTTGGTAATACAAGATTTCCAGGGTCGTACATATAAAATATAAATGTCACCCTTCTTTTCAAACAAATCTGTATGCATTCTAATAAAAAGGCCACATTCAATAGTATGTATATTGAAAGGACAGTGAGTAGTTTTAATTGGCGAAACAGTGAAGATGTTTGAGTCGGCACCATCGCCGGATTGTCCGTCATTTCTGTAGTTTATGAATATACATGCATAAAAAATATTTGTTAAAAAATCTTAGGTAAACAAATTATTTCAATTTATATTTAGAGTATACGGCTCGAGGTTTATTTTTTACACGCTCCGAATTTCTTTCGCTGAGTTTTCTTTTTGTTGGACAGATACCTAGTAACTTTATGTTTAAATCAAACTTTCTACCAAGTCTGAGATCACGTATCTAGCGAAAGATCTACGAAAGAATAATAGATATATTTCTGTTCACACTGATATTTTCATTTGTGTTCACAAATCACAAACTTGTTTGCGAATCTGAAATTTTACTTTTGTTATCAATGAGTAATAGTCACATTTATTGTAGAATTAGGTATATTTATTTGCTTTTCCCAGATATGTTTTTGCTAAGCTTCTTAATATTTATTGACACCTCATTAGCCTATTAGATACGTTTTGTGAGTACCTAGAGATTATCAGGCGAAGTCTTTTTTTATATTACCGACTGTAAAGCTAATAAAACTGTCAGCCGATATGATGGAAAATTTTCATTTAGCAGGCACTAAGAACGTTATAAAATCTTTTAGGTATCTACATTTTGTAACATCCATGGTGCTGTAACAGGTACCTATCATATTTGTTACAATTACTGGAGACTGGTTATCTTCGTACCCACTTAGTAATAATGTTAATTACTTACTTAATTATCAAGCATCCTTTCTTAAGCCCTAGATGATGTAAACACATTATCTATACTCGTGCTAAAACAAAAATCTAGTATTCATAAGTAAAATTTCAGAAAATGTAATGGTTAAGTTAGCTAGTTTATGTACTCAACAAACCTATACATAGATACCTATTTATCACGAAAATGAAAACGTTGAATGCAAATAGATACGATCAATTGATATTATTTTAATAATATATTTCAAATTGCTAGCGAGTTTCAAGTAGGTAAGGGTAAACATGTGAATATTCAAACAGAAAGGAATATAGATAAACATCATTTAGAAAGGAAATTACCAGAACTGTGTACTTGGCACCACATGTGCCATCTTGACAATAAATTTAAAAATTAATTAAAATAGGTGCCAAGTGTTCCCAACTGCCAGTTAAACGGTTTTAAGTTAGTGGCACTCTGTTCATTAATTTAACGAATTACAAAATTTTTGCTTGAAATAGTATTTTCAATGTATTAGTAGGTAACTAACCTATTTATTAGATATGTGTACCTACTTATAGTAAAAAAAAATATACAATACTTATTTATATTTATACTATAATTATTATTTGTACTAACTAACCATAGAATAATAGGAAATCAGATATTGGGTTAGAAAACATGTAAATGTTCTGTATCTAATTATATTTATTCCTTCTACGTAGGTTCAGCGTGAAGAAAACCAAATGATACTGCCATGCCTACTGTATGTAAAAGGTAAGAAAGATATCTATATACAGATATAAACAGTCATTCAAGTTATTATATATGTAGTTAGGTTATCTTCAAGGTAGGTAGGTACATGTTGAATTTATATTCTATGACAGACTTGAATAACAATTTAGTATGAAAGTAAAAATTTGCTTCCAGTTCTTCATTGTCCACTTCCTATTGATTTTTTGTTAGTGCAAATGAGCTGGTGAAGCGGCAACCGACATTGGTACATAGATATGAATTTCGTCCTGAATATCACGTCGTCATGGACGGCAGTAATAAGTACCCTATATGCGTTGCCATTCCGGAGTATAAAGGATGTAATACTTACCGCCGTACTTCACTTTCACTGCCACAAGAAAAACGTGGAAACCCGTGATTTAGAAATAAATCTCTGGAGTTTTATTGTAGTAACTAGGTATAGATATATTATTGATTATAGCTACGGTTTAGTTTAGTGCAACTGTAATAAATAGATATATTGTGTTTATACATATATATCTACTAGTAACTAGTGTAGAAGTGTTGGTTTTTGCTGTAAAGATTTTCTTATCCAGTCAGTTACCTTAAATAATCTACAGAATATAATTAGACGCTGTCCATTTTCTTTTCAAATTAATATTAAAACATTCATTAAAGTAAAGTTTCTCATTTCGAGCTAATACGTCTATAGGTAGAGGTCGTCTATGAATTTTAAATAATGTCATAGTAGGATCAGGTAGCTGTAACTAATGAAACGAACGAGAAATTACTTTTTAACTGACTGCCAAAAAGAAGAAATTTTAATTCTATGATACTTCATGTAGATATTATGTTATGTATTTAGTTAATCTATGAATTAATCAATGCGAGAATTTAATAAATTTCTTGATTATTATAGATATTATTATACATATCA